TATTTATAAAAGCTCATATTTTCATAAATATAAATAAATAATATTGATTATTAAAAACAAAAACTACGGTTTCTGAAAACTTTATTTTTGGTGATTTATAAAATTTTTAGTGAAATAAAATTTGCGGAAGGTATATATATATATATATATTGTATAAGCTTTTGTTGTAAATTAGTGCAAGAACATTATAGAATAAATAAATGATAAAAGACACGCGTCTTAGGAAGTTTATTTTTGTTCTTTAACCTTATTTTTGTCACCTGATAACATTGTAGTGCTTTATAAATTTCTAATTAATAAATTGTTTCTACAATGTAGGTGTATATAGTTCTTTCTATTACACTTGCTATATGTATAATGTGTATACATTTAAGTATAATACACATTTCTTCGGTTAAGTTTACGAACTTATACAAATGAATTCAGGTTATAAGAAACAATAATGGCAGAAAGCATATCGATGAACTTGTTCGCCACATTGATCGCTTTGCAACTCCACATCTCTATTGGAAGGTCACTATGTTTATATCACAGTAAAGATAATCAAGTTCAGGTCAACATAGTACATACATGTCTAATGATTATATATATTACTCGGAAGGTGCAGAGCTTAAAAACATTCAATAATAATTTCGTCAAGGATCACTTTTCGATGTCAAGTCATATTGTTATATGTAAAAATTACTTGCTTATACCTCTCTGTTTACTGATAAGATATTTATGACTTTGATATTGTATTTCAAGTTTTTTATACAATGTTTAAGCTCGATATTAGAATTAAAATTTAAAAACTTCAGTAATCAATGTTTCAGTTCGTCTTTCAAATTCTTACCTATATTCTATATTATTAGTTGTTTAACTTTTGTATTCAAATGAAAGATATATTCTCATTAATTTCAACAGCTATTTTAAAATTATTATATATCAGCCATTCCAGGAGTTTTTTTTTATCACTTTTCGGAGTGACCTTTCCAAATTAAATAAACATTTTTTTTATAATATTTATTAATATAAAGGTCCAAAATAATCACTTTTTAAGTAAAAACAATTGTTTATTTAAAAAATACAACAATAAATAATGAAAAAAATTCACTTTTTTTCTGCACCATCAAATAAATTGGTTTAAAGATCAAAATTTTCCTTATTTTTCAAGCTTTCATACCGAACAAGAAAAATTTCATTAATCGAAATAGTTAACTCACAATTTATTAAACAATGTTTGTTTTCTTTTTTATATTTTATTTATTGTGAAACGTCTGTTATCGCTGCGCGCGACGTTCGGAAGTTGTCGCTCTCGTTATTGAGCCATAGAAGCTCATTACACTAGCGTATAGTAAGAAATGTGTAAAAAGTGAGGATTTTCAACCTTCAAAAATGTTTTTTATGATTTTTTACTGCAAAGTAGGTAATTAAAAACCATTCAATGTGATAACCAGAAATGTTTACACTTCGTTCAATGACAACATAACCTCACTTTTCCCACAACATGTTTTTTACTACGCTAGTGTAATGAGCTTCTACTCAATAACGAGAGCGACAACTTCCGAACGTCGCGCGCAGCATTAACAGACGTTTCACAGTAAATAAAATACTAAAAAGTAAACAAACATTGTTTAATAAATTGTGAGTTAACTATTTCGATTAATGAAATTTTTCTTGTGCGGTATGAATGCTTGAAAAATAAGGAAAATTTTGATCTTTAAATCAATTTATTTGGAGGTGAATTTTTTTCATTATTTATTGTTGTATTTTTCAAATAAACAATTGTTTTTACTTAAAAAGTGATTATTTTGGAACTTTATATTAATAAATATTATAAAAAAAATGTTTCAATTTAATTTGGAAAGGCTACTCCGAAAAGTGATAAAAAACTACTGGAATAGCACATATATATATATAAATTTTAATTAAAAGAATTAATTCATATTCAATTTGTTTATAAATCTGTTAAAAAATTTTGTATTTCATACCTATTATAATAAAATATTCAGTCACTGAAGAGGACGACTGTGTCGTTGAAACATAAAAAGAATAGTTTTTTTTATTCATTTTTTTCATCTTGACTTGGAGTGATCGATATCATCATTTTTATTATTAAGTGCTGCCGAGTGATAAATTTAAAATAATATTATTAGAAATAAATATTATTAATTATTATATTATAGTCCTTTAGCCCTCATCTTTGTCCTTTTCTCATTAATCAGTCACAAGAATGTGTAAAGTAAATTTCAGAGCATAAAAAAATTATTTTACACTGAAAATTACTTTACACACTGCTATAGCAATGCTCAAAGAAAATTTTACGCTATAAAAAGAAGAGGCACTTTACACACAGTTTTCCGTATGTAAAATTCAACTTTACAAGTTAGTGTTGCAAAAAAAAAAAATTTTTTTTATAAACAAACACATATTTATATATCATAGTATGTAATACTAAAAAACTTGAGCCTACCATGTAGCACAAAAGTACAGATATTGGCACTATACTTATAAAAATTATTAAAGAATAGTGACTATTTAATGAAAAAATATTAATGTGATATAATATGATTAATAATGTCAAGTTTGTTATTAACTTAATTTGATTTTAATGATGCGTAACAAATATAAGACCCAGTTAATAATCTGATTATGAAATTTTCATTTTAAGTTTTGTTAAATATTATTTGTAAATGTAAGACTTAAGAAAGGTTATATTAAATGTTTTTCTTGGAATGCTAAAATAGAAATTGAATTATTTCATATATGTATTTATAGATTTAATAATGTATCTACTCGTGTAGAACAATGGACTTCTTGACCCCACTGCACCATTATATAATCTCATGCAGTACTGACGTCTGACGCAGTGCATCGTCAGAAAATAAAATATGCAGAGCTGACGTATCGATCCTCAAAGTGTTTCTATATCCCAACGTGAAGATCTGTTGATTCATCCAATTGCCAATCATGTTACTCTCGCGCAAATTAATTTTCTTTTTCTATTTTCCTTACATATAATTTAATAATAAAAGACAATACTGGGCTCATTTTTGCTGCTGTTCAAAATGAGCCAATTCTAAACGACATAGAACGTGGCGCCAACTATCTGAATCATTTTTGTTGCCCAGGTTTTTACTGTGAAATAAAGTATCAACTATTTTTTAAAGTGCAACTCAGGACTACGATCTTAAATTATAATCTGCCCATTTTTAATTCACTTTCATTTTTTTGATGCAGCAAAAGAATTATTGACTTAATTAAGTAGTTTTATGAGGAAGACAAAGTAAAAATATATTTCTAATATTTCGTTTTGTTTATGGTGCAGGGAATCATTGATAAAAGGAGAAACAAGTTAGTTGCGACTGCAAAACATGTTCGCTGCTTCGGAAAGAAATTATGTTGTACTAAAAAGTAAGTAATAGTGTAATAGCGTTGCCCTATCGACGCGACGCGGTAGTTTGAATTTTGAAAACATCAAGTTTTTGGGTTGTGATTTAGCAATTTGCAACTGACTTTTTCTGGACAACCAGCATCCTTTGACATATAAATCTCTCGCAAGTACACATGTTTTCCTCCATTCTTTATAGATTTCTGTACTGAGACTAAAGCGAGAATATAATATGAAATAGTGACTGCTGCCAGTTATGACTGAAGCCGAGGGATGAGGTGCTTCCAAGGCCAAACATCCTAGGAAATGTTTATGGCTATATTGGAGCAATAAAGCAATTCTCATTACAAGGGCGAGATTTTTGACCATTCAGCGTCGCGTACTTTTCTCGCTCTGGTCTTCGTCCATTGTCAGGAATCTCTCTCGGCCGTCAAAACTTTATAAGCACTGTGTTTTGACAGTCGGCGGGTTCTGCCTGTTATATTTTACAGCCGACTCTCACTACACGAAATAATACTACTCGAGTAACCTTCGTATATGAAAAATTGCCTACGCCGCCAAATTTTTCAACGATGCGAACTTGACTTTTGGGCCAATAAAATGTTAATATATATTGCGGTTTATGAGACGCGTGATTTTCTACGAAAGTATATTGTACGTACTTTGTGGGATATACATCTGGACCACAAGAATTTTATGCGGGTTCTTTTAAAATTTTGTGCTGCCTTCGATAATATTTATGTCGGTGCAGTGAAAACAAATATCAATATTTTCTATTGTCACTGTATATTACTGATACTATCTAAGATCAACATTGTGTTATGTCATTAAAAATAATTTCTTTGGCATTACCGCTGTAAATATTTTCGGTAATACATAGTGTGAATTTCATTTTACTGCTAATTAACTAAATTGATGATTAATGACTTTTTAAATGCAACAATATATATTATTTTAATTTAGCAGCAATTAGCATTGAGATCATAAATATTAAGCAATTAAATAAATTTATATAATACATTCAAATTTTAATGTTTAAAACCTAATTTGGTATCTATTGTTGCAAATTTCATAGCTTTTCTTTTCATATGTAAATTCGGCATTAATTTAAACAATATCATATGAAGCATCCATACATTTTTTATTTTTCAAAAATTTCGTTTGTAACTAAAAAAAATATAAAGATATATGAAAAAAAAATTTTGATTTACACAACAAAATGTCTTTTTAAGTTTAGTTAAATTAATAAGAAAATTTTGTTAAACAAATAAAATGTGTTAAATTAACAAGTTATGATATAAAAAGTGATTTCGAGCAATAAAATTAAAGTTTGTTATTTCTTATTAATATGTTTTTTTTCTTCGTTCTAATAGTCATTAAAAAGTATAATATCTGCGAATATAAAAATCTTAATTCAATACTTACCTTCTCTGGTTTTCAATGTCTTCATTGTTTCTTGTATTTTATTTAAATTGTTTTGAAAATATTGAAAATAACTTTAATTATTGTATTTATTAATAATAACTGTGAAAAAATAACTTTTTTAAAATTATGAATGAAATTGTATATGCTTAATCTAAAAATGACACAATGGGGAAGAGGAAGTGAAGGTTTCAAGTTTGAGACAGTATTTATGCAAAAGATTGTAACATTTATTAATTCGAGAATGATAATCTTTCATCACATACCATATGTACATTCGAATGTTTAAACATTTGGCGAATTCACAATACTAAATAATATTTACATATGTGTATCTCTTTATAATTACAATATAAACTATTACAACGAGAGGGAGATCACGTCTTACGCGCTACGCCTACCCAATATTTACATATTTTAGAACTTTCTATACAATATAAAGATCACTTTTAGGCTTAAATAAGCCAGAAAACTATTCTAACATTTGGTTACGAAAAATCAGCAAGTTATTAACTCAATTTTAAATACTGGTATCGAATTTTTTTCAAACAATCGAGAAATTATAATACTTTTTAAAAAATACATATATATAGCAAATTTAAAACTTCTCAATTGTTTGACTGTAATGGTTACTTTGAGTAAAAATCAGCAAATAAATAATAAACGCATCTCAGAAGTCAACGTACTCTTGTGATTTTTTTTTCATCACAAAATATTCAAGAAATTAATCGCAAATCAATAACAGTGACAAAATTTGTTTGAAAACGAATGAGAATCCCTGCGCTACATTTATCGAAAAAACAAATGTAATTTTGGAAAGCTAAAACAAACTAATTCTCATGTGAGAATATAAAGAAACATTGTATTATATTTTTCTCAAAGCTAAAGTTGACTGCCACTTGGAGTAGAAAACTCGTGTTCAAAAAATGCTTACAAACATTTTAAAGACGATATTAATGATAAATAAAAATTCTAATGACGCATTTCCAAGTGCGAACAATATCGAGGATAAATAAATTGCAATTTAAATTATTCCGTTGACATTGCAAGGAACTATAATAAATCTGTAGACAATATATACACAATTAACATTGAATTAGAAATGCGCTTAGTTCTTTAATCCATGAATTAATATTTAACCAAGGGCAGTCAATCACCGTTAGATCAATGACTAAAATTCATCGAATTGAAAAATTTGCCGTACATTCTGACTGGTCAGGACGTAGTAATTTTTCATTCGCATTTTTACATATTACCTGCGATTCAGCTCTGTCGCCCAGTGAGGACAGTGATCGGTTTCAAAAGCAGTTGAGGGTTGTGAGAGAGACTCATTGCTTGTTGACTGATGTTGTTGCATATCGAAACTGGTGGCGAGTGTGAAGACATTGGCTCAGGACTACTTCCAGGGGAAGCTGTCGTGGAGGCAGGTTGGCTCATCAGAGGTTGATTGAGGTACCGGGGTTGTTGATTGAAGACTGCTGCCTGATGTTGGTGAGCAGCCAACGACCTGAGAGTTGTGTAAAAGTCGTAGGGGCTGCCCGTCGGCGTGAGTCCCGGAGCAGGAATGCCGGCTGGATATCCACTGGGTGCTTGAAGGAGCCTTTCCATGGAGAAGGCTCCGTGGGCTGGAGGAGCAGCTGCAGCTGGCAGAGGTTGCGGCTTGCAAGGAATGCTCGGGGATGTTGTGGTCACGGCACCCGGGAGCAAACTCGCTGGATATCCGGCTGGAGTCGTGTAAGCTCCGGTCACTGAAGGATAACTCGCTCGATGGAGGTACGGCAATGTGTACAAAGAGCTTGGCCATCCTGGTGGTGCGTAAGGATTTTGGTAGAAACCTCCCAAGACAACACTTCGTTTGAAAGCTGCCAACCTGGATCTGGATGCAGCGGTTGTTCTCCTTCTCAATTTTCCGGTGGTTCCTCCAATAAAGACGTCCTCCGAGCTCGGGTCCAACATCCAATAGTTGCCTTTGCCGGGATCATCGTAATGCCTCGGAACCTTGACAAAGCACTTGTTCAGGGACAAATTGTGCCTGATGGAGTTTTGCCAACCCTGTTTGTTGTTTTCGTAGTAGGGAAAATGGCGCATGATGTACTCATAGATTCCATTAAGGGTTAATCTCTTCTCGGGACTTTCCCTAATTGCCATCATAATTAAAGCGTTGTAGCTGAAGGGTGGTTTTTCTGATTTTTTCTTCTCTTCACTGGACTGATCACGTGCGTCCTTTTGGGATCCCGGACTGCAGGATGAGGAATTCCTCGAGCAGTCGAGTGGAGGAGTTTCGGAACCGTCACCAGTGACGTCGAGGTCACTGCAATCATCGCTGTCGTCAACATGGTCAACAGGCGAAAGCGATTGGCTGACGGAAGGAGCTGGAGTTCCTGCGCAAGCTTCTGGAACAATGCTGCGGATGCTGAAATTGCTTTTGAGAGTAGCTCTGGGTGGTGGCGAAGCCGTCACTGTATGCTGCTCACTTGCACTCTCCATGTTCACCATAATTAGTCTTTTGATAACACTGATTTATAAATTCCACGTTCACTGGTATTCACTTTGCACAATAATGTTCAAAAGATTTTTCAAATGCACAATAATGAGTTAAATTCACTTAAGAGTTTCAAACAGAGTCCACACGAATTGAAAAGTCGGTGGACGGTTAAACTGCGACTGACGAAGCGATACGTCGGACCAGCCGCACAGATCTGAACATTCCCCCCCAAGCCCCAGAGTTTATAGCTACCGGGAGGCTCCTCCTTCGAGTCTCTTGGCTGCGCCTGTTGGGCGGAGACCAGCCAATGGCAACGATCGCGACGATGGAGAGCTTGCTGCTCCACACTTCACCCCCCGTTGGAGGGAAGTTTATATTATGTGTCGAGAGAATGCTTTGAAGCTGGGCAAAACATTTGTGATTTCGTGGAAACAAATGTTGAACTGGACAAAGGAACGGAAAAGGTAGTGTTGTTGCGAATCTCAGAAACGGGATTATGCTCGGAAAACTTCACTTTTTTCACATAAGCTGAATTAAAAGTGAGATTACCATTCGAATGTACAGAATGTTTTCTTTTGTTTTAAATTTTTCTTCTGTTTGTGATATATTATTATACTTTTAGGAAGCATTTATAAACTTTTAATCATACAATTTCATTGACAATTACTCTCTAAATCTGAATTAGTAGTTTTCTACTAATGAAAGAGTGCTTATTCGTTCACCAACTGAATTAGTAACAGCTAGTTTTGACTCATTTTTAGTGAAAAACTACTAATTTGAAATAGTAAAAATATACGATTTACTCCATGAATTAGTAGTTGTTTACTAAAAATTAGTCAAAACTGTTACTAATTCAATTGGTAAACGAATGCGCACTCTTTTATTAGTAAAAAACTATACTAATTCAGATTTAGAGAGTATAAATTTATATTATTAATGCACAATAAAAAAAGTCTTATTTTAAGATAAGTCTGAAATACATCACAGTTAAATATTAAATTATTAAATAAAATAAAAATGTCGCATCTTAAAGTAAGACATTCGATAATGGTTATGAATACTTTTGCAAACTTTTTGCTTTGAAAGTGCATAAATATTTTTTAATTACATAAATAATTTATTCGAAATAAAAAAATTCTAACTATATGTATTCTTAATTTCTTACCACAAAATAATATTTCATAATCAAATAATCCTCCAGAGAAAAATTGGAGATAAAAATTGTATTGATTTATCAACATTTGTTAGTATTATTAGAATGGAATAAATGAATGAATAAAATTTATTAATTTGAAATTAATTCGATCACAAATAAGTCAGCACATACATATTTGCTACAAGTTACAAAGTTCATTAACCTTTATGGGTCTGACGAGTTACCCGGGAACCTTTTGCATTTTCAAATCGAATTTTTTCATAATTTTTAAAATCGTATCGACCTAAGGTTTTTTGACATCTCAAATTTATCCATACAAAGTGTTTTAATATTATTTATAATGTACCTTTATTATTTATTTATTCAGAAATAATAAATAAAATTTCTTCATCCTTAAAAGGCGGACAAGGTACCCGGGTACCTCTATAAATTTCATGCAGATAAATGTAGAAATTTCTATTAAAAAATTATGAAAAATTGCAATAAACAAATTTTATTAATTTTTATAGTACACACTGAAAAAGAAATCTTGATTTCAGCCTATTTTTGAGGCTGAATTTAAGGTATAAACGGAGTCAGACCAATTAAAAAAGGACAGACTTATGCAAAATATATGGGCTTAATTTAAGGTGTAAACGGTTTAAGACTTTGTTTTTACTGTGTAATGCACATAATTTTTTTTATAAAATATATGTAATTTAGTTACTATAGTTAAATAATAATATTCATAAGAAATCGTCAGTTTTTAACTTAAAATAATTACCATAAAAATGAAGTTTGAATAGAATTAATTTTGTATTAAAAATGTATTTTAAATAATAAAAAATAAATTTCTTACATTTTTATATTTGATTTCATAAATAATCTGCCTAAATATGTACCTGTTTTGCAATCTAACAAAAAGTATATACACGGATATTATTTAATATTATGTGATTACTACTATCATTGAAACGTCCACTACACTCAAAGTTAATTGAACTGCTCATTTTGATGTAAAATCTTCAATAAATTAAACATAGGTACCCGGGTACCTCGTCCACCCATAGAAGGTGTTTTTTTTCTCAGTCCTATAAAGGTTAAAAATATATAGCTAATGTGCGGAGTTTTTCCACTTAATTGACAGAGACTTGCTGGTACAATTTTGCATTATTTACAGCAGTTAAATATATAAGGAATGATAATGATTATAAAGATGTGGCACGTGCACAGCCTTAAACTGAATCACCTCGCGCCGCCTAGTGGGAGGAGTTTTCTCGTGTTTGTACCCAATGTTGACAGCTGACATTGTAAACAGAAGTCTGGTTCATGGGATGTTGAGGTGGTGGGGAGCGCAGTCGCAATGGTTACTACTAACACAAACAAATCAGGATCTCTACGCCCCCTTTGTAACCACATTTACCATTATATTCTAAATCATTTCTATCGTTTTGTAAAATTTATCTTAATATAGGACGCAATCAACAAAAGAAAATACTGAAGTATTATTTTTTATAACTCTTCAAAAAGAAGTTATAGTTTTTTAAAACTTTTTTCGAAAACTTAAGATTTATTCCAGAATACCAAAGATTGATTAATTAATTAATTAAACGGACTAATTGTTTAATTGTACATATACAATAAAAACAAAGTCCTAAATCATTTACACATTAATTTAAACTCATGTATTTTGTTGCTCTGACTCCGTTTACACATTGAATTCAGCATAAAAAAGGGGCTGAAATCAAGACTTTTTTTCAGTATGTATTATATACTAAATTCTTACAAAAAAGAATCATTTTATGCGATTAATATGAAAAAAAGCTTTAAAACTTAATTTATAGCTGTGCTGCAGATAACCTTCATTTTTGCTAATTGGTTAGTAAATTTTAACTAATTCATAACAAAAAGTCAATCATTAATTAAAATGCTTACTAACTGAAATTTAAAGCGAGAGAGTGTGTTAGAGAGAGATTTTTGAACCAAATATATTTTGAATTAAATAAAAACGTGTATTTGTCATTTTATTTCAACTAAATAAAATTTGTTGGAAGCATAAATATATAATTATTTTGTTTAGGAAGAAATATATTTTTTTCTGATCAAATAGGAGAGACTTCGTGTCGTATATATAATAATGGTAGAATTTTTTCTCTTTATTGATTAACTTTGGTCATTTTTGCAGATAACACTTTAGATACTAAATTCCAAAAATACTAATTCGAAAGTAAAAAGTCAGTCATTGATTCAAATAGTATACCTAATATATTTCTATTAATTAATTAGTTAAAAACAACTACTTATTAGTTAAATTCATTTTTAGGTTATGTCAACATTACTGAATATTAGTGCAAAAACACTTCCGAAACTTATATAAATTAAATCAATTAGTGGAATTTGATTACTTTTTTAAGTTATTTTTTGACAAATAATTATTTATTTTTTACTGATAATTAGTCATTTTTCACTGATTGCTTAAGCAAAAAATGAACCATGATTTTACTATGATAATTAGTTAGTTTGAACTAATTCAAATTTAGAGAGAATACCAAATCGTTTTATTTCTTTATTATAATTAATAATAATTAATAGAAAATTTTTTGATTTTCCACTGAATAAACTATTCTTAAAATTTACATGAGATTACCAATAGAAATTGAATTTTTAAAAATATTGTATACTTTTTGAGGTTTTACCAAAGGTATATATTAGGAAAAACCTGAATGCCTTTGATTCAAGAAATATCATTGTCTCGATGTTTTTACTTGGTCCCTATACTTATGTTAATAAATATATGTACAAGATTAAAATATCATTTTGTCTCAGTTCTTAGAAAGCTTTTCTTCAAATGAAATTGCCTACTTAAATTGTATATCAGTCTGGCAAACCGTCTGTAAACTGAAAATTTACCACAATCCCTAAAACAAACATAAACTGCAAAGGGTTAAAGTTTGGTCAATACCAACAACAGTTATTATATTAATACTATTGTTTAGGTATATATAAAAACACAAAAGAGAGTATTTTCTCAAAGGATTGTATATACGGTTCAAGTTTACAACGGTATGTAATGTGTCATATAATCTCGTAATTGCATTTGGAGAGGTGCATTTACAGCTTTGCCTAAGTCGACCTTTAACTTCTCAAAGATAATTCAAGGTGATTTGTGGTTTGTCAGAATGTATGTAAATTTTGTGGTAGTGATCAATTGTCTTGTAACCACAAATCTTGTTGTATTGCGGTTTCATATATAATATTGTCAAATGATATGCTAAATTTCAATATACTGATATTCTCTAACGAGTAAATTGCAGTAAATTACAAACCACTTTCAATATTGACCATATTATTGTGGGTGTGGCTCGAGCCTGTAGGGTTCCTCATTAACTAAATCCTAAGCTGGAATTTACAAGTAAAATTGTAAGTGGCATAAAGTACCGATTGCAAGATTAAAATCAGGGGGCTTATTGGTATTAAAAAATTCCTGCTTCTTAAAAGACAATACATCATTAATTTATACATTAATTGTATAATTGTTGTTATTAGGTTTTTATTAATGTTAGTTTTGTCATTGTCATATTTATAAAATGATATATAAAATAAAACTCATTTTATTATTTTTTTGTCAAAAGAAATTTTGAAAAAAGAATAATATTATTTTTTGGAAAATTTGGCCTAAACATTTAAATAATTTTATTATTATGAAGTGCCAAAAATTTAATTTTTAAATCAATTGTTATTTTTTATTATTATTACGAACTGTATTAAATTTTTTATTGCCTTTTACATTTAAACATTTTTAATTAATACCAATATTGAACCAATACTGGCATATATATGTTTGGGATGATAACGTTTATTAGTACTGGTCATTAGTAATGGGGCTTAGTACTGGCGTTCAGTACTGGTTCAATACTGGAATTTAGCAGTAATTATAGTTCTTTTTGCTTTTTACATTAATTGAGCAGCTGGTTCGAAGAACTTTTCAATTGTTATTTTTTTATATTAACATTTTACTCTTTATTTTATTATTTAAATAATTTCTTCAAATATTATAAAATATATATATTTATTTGTATTTGTTTATATTACCGAAATTGAAT